CCCCCCCCGCAGATTACGCCGGCACCTGATGCTGGGAAAGATTGAAGTTCAAAGAAGGGGATGGCAAAGGATGAGATGGTTAGACAGTTTTATCGATGCAACGAACATGAAATTAAGCAAACTTCAGGGCACGATGGAAGACAGGAGAGCCTGGCATGATGTGGTCCATGGGGTCACGAACAGTTGGACTCGACTGTGCGACAGAACAACAAATATATAGACCTGTCTTTTAAAATTTCTCATTCACTTTCTAACCCAAAAGATGAGGAAAACCACATAGTAAAACCATAAATCTGGAATCATCCATTCTGAGTAGGTAATTATAATTTAGAAAAGTTATCTTCATCTGAGAGTCATGACTGAATATTAAGCGGACAATAATAGTGACCACACAAATCGAGTAAGGCACATTTACTTGCGCTTGTACTGATAAAATTGGAGTTTCCACATGCCTAAATCAAAAGTGAATGAATAAATTAGATCCAGATTCTCCTTGCCATTATCTGTATGCGTCTGGAAATCCAGACACCCAAATATTTAAACTGGTACTGCTGCCAATGTAAAGGCAGTTAATAAAACAGCGCTAAGTAGAGACACAACCCAAACCTATTTTTTCCCAGTTTTCCTCAATGGATAGAATAGCCAGAAAAATGTCCCAAATGTCATTTTTAAGTCATCTAGGAACAGAAACATCAGGGTCAGACACCAGAATAAGGGCATAGTCTGCATCCAAAGATTATTTATACTTTCTTAAAGCACACTGAGAATTTCTTGAATTAGGACTTCAGTGATCCATCAGAACTGAGCTAGGTCTTTTAGCCTTCATGCAAAGATTTATATTATCCCAATCTTACTTGCATAAAATGTTTAGACTGATCTGGGGGTTGAGGTATGAATAATCCTGTTTACGAAAGTGGGTGTACAAGTAATAGCTCTGGGATTTGGGAGGCTTGTAGGCAAGATACCCTGAGGAGACCCTCAACCCAAAAGAGATGAGAATTATCAATTCACTAGACCTTTGTGTTCCCACTGACCTTCTTGGATATGCCAGGCAAAGTTAGAATGGTGGCTTTGTTGGATTTATTGGTCCTTTGCTGGTCTTCGGTCTCCAGAAGATGCCCAACTTGAATTGTCCCTGTAAAGTGTAGCTATCAGTGCCAGTAGATTTGCCTTGTGTCTTGCAAAGAGTGTAAGGAAGGGGGCAAAGCATCCGCTTTGCACGTAGAAGGCCCCATATCAAATCTACAGTATAGTTTAAAGCATCAAGTAGCAGGCTGTGTGAAAGACCTTTGTCTAAGACCCTGCAGAGCTACTGCCTGTCAGAGTAGACAATACTGGCCTTTTTTTCTTCCACATGGAGGTTTTGTTCCAGTTTAGCATTCAAACTAGAAAATGAATTTTTTAAGCATACACTATCCAGGTTTTCCCATTTTCCTGTGACCCTTCCCAAACTAGATTTGATACAACCTTTTAGGAAAGATTGTAGTTTACATGCCCTGAAAATGGGAATGTGCACTATTTTACAGGTTGCACCCACATTAGCACCATTCCACGCCACAGGAGGTCTTTTAACATTACCAGCTTTAAGAAAGCCAAAAAAGGCCTCCAGTGGCATTGAGGAGGGGGGAAATGGCAGTCATAGGGGACTGATTCAAGCAAAATAGTGGGGGAAATTGCAATGTGGATGCTCTGTTGCCTCTGCAGGTGGAGCAGGGAGAGGGGTCAAAGAAGCACACCCTGGCACCCAACTTTCTGCAACAATAACAATGCTCCAATGTTTAATGGAAGTTATAATTATGCCCTTCCCAACTTTCCAGTACAGAATTAAAACATTTTTGAATTGTACATCTCTAGAAATAGCCCTTGATAGCCCTGTATATTATGGAAGTTCTTTTTTGTAAATGTTTTTGTTTATGTAGCAGTAAATTACACTTGTCAAACTACAAAGTCACTACACAGCATAACATGCATATTTTCAGCCTTTATTCGAAAAAATTACAAAAAATACAATAGCATAAATATAAAATTGTCTGTTGTTTACCTGATTGACCGATACATCATGAAATCAATTGTGGTGCATCTAGGAAATTTACCAATAGAACTTTCTTCCACTGGTGTATAAACCTTAATTTGTCGCATATGAGTGTCCCTTCCATTTTGATGATTAGCTAAAACAGCAATCTGTATCATAAAAGTGCGAATTGGTTTCTTGTGAGTATCTGTTAAGGGAACATGAATCCAACCACTTGGTTCGACTAATTCAAGTTGCTGGGGGGAAGAGAGAAAAGAAACATCAATTGAAACCGATCTACTCAATCACTTACATGAGTACCTAATAACAGAACTTGGTACAACAGAAAGTAGGCTGAGAAGTAAAGCAAAGGTAAAAATTCAGGTATCAGTAATTATTTGATTTTTTTATTATGCAGGGCAGAATTTGATATTGTATCAAATTAAGATAATCACTGACAATAATAAAATTTTTAACTTTAAAATGTTATTTTTAATCTGTCAAGAATTCCTTTAAAATAATTTCATTTAAAGTTATATTTGAATGTAACACAGACACATTAAGTCAATGGTGCTCAAAATATGGACATGAAAGTGGGATGCTCCACTCTCACAGGTGGGTCACAGGCAGTGTTCCCTCTAAGCTGAGTTAGAGTGAGTTTAGCTCACAGTGTTTTAGCATCCAGCTCACACATTTTTGTCTTCGCTCAGGAAGGATGGCTCTAGAGCAAACTAATTTCTGCAGCAGCCAAATCGCTCACTCACAGTTTTAATGCCAGTAGCTCACAATTTTTGCTCATAAGACTCCACAGCTTAGAGGCAGCATTGGTCACAGGGTGAGCTGGGAGAAGGAACTCGTTGACAAAATTCTGGTTTTCTTCTTCATAGTAAGTGAAATGCCCATGATATACAGCCTGTTGCTCAGTAATTCTATATATTTATAAATACTAATGAAAAATAAAATATGATTGCTTAGTACTAACTGGTATGAAATGTCTTGCCTTTTATGCTGAGGAGATGAAAGTAACGTAGAATTTCTTCACAGGTAGGTTTTAAAAAGTTTAAAAGCAAGTCCTACCTCAAATGTTTGAGATACACTGCATTAAATCTACACCCATAATCTCTCAACACTAAACCACTTAACACTATCAAACACTTTTATACAGGAAAGCTGGTTTTTACTAACAAAATAAAGAAAAAAGTATATGATTTGATCAATGGGTCATGCATTACATTAATTATTGTGCAAATTTTGAATATATACAGTGTAATCCTAAAATCAGTTACTCTAATCTCAGCCAAGTGAAATTAATTGGCTTAAACTGTAATAACTCACCGAAGATTGCACTTTTAAATTCCACCAAACAGCATAGATGCTTACTTTCACTGCATGGAAAAACACTATTCTGCCCAACTACCACCAGTCATTGGTTCTGGAAAGATCTGAGCAGAAATCTTCTAGTGTCTGATCATATTTCATATGATTACATATGTATAGAGCCACACAGAAATCCTTAATTTCATAACCACTCCCCTAAGAAAATATAAATTCAGCAGTATAAAGAACATGAGTCCCGCATCATGAGATGTTTTGGATTATGCTTCTGGATAGCATAAAAGATCTACTGGATTGCAAAGAGATATGTTTTAACTGTAATAGCAACCAACGTGCATACCATTGTTCACTGAATAAATGAGTTAGTAGATGGAAATTTGATTTAAATAAGTCCCCTCTGTATTTAAATATGCATAGCTATTTTAATTGTCTGTGCTACAAAATTCGCTATAGAGTAATAAGCCGAATCACCTCATTTATTGCAAAGTATATATATTCTCAGATATTATAGCTATTAAGTTGTCTCAGCAGCCTTTACTGTCAGACTGCAGAATGTGAGCAATAAACACCAATTCAAGTGTTCCATTTAAAACCAATTGCATCACTGGTTTCATTTCTAAGGGTCCACAATTACCGCAGAGAACTGTAATCCAGCATTAACATTTATCACACAAAATGATTCCTTTCACGATCTGTATCAGCTTTTTCATAATTAACATCCATAGGCTTTAAGAGAGATATTAAGTATGTCATCCAGAACAGAAGTATAAGTACAAATATGGCCATTATTTTATAACTGCTCTTCCTTCACAGTGCTCAGAACAACTTGCACAGGGTTCCCAGGTGGTCTCCTAGCCAGACAAACTTCCATACATGTCTAATGGAACTAACATATACATAAACATGTTCAAAATTGCTTCTACTAGATTGTTTTCTGTCACTACAAACAGCTGAGATAATAGCTATTCTCTGAAATCCATTCACTCAGAAAACAAGGTCAGTGATTTCTGAATAGCAGTCATACAGTAATGGGAGAAAATATCAAAAACATACATCCTGTGTTTCTGGTTTATGGCGGCGCGCTGAGCAGTCGCACCTCCCGGACCTCCTGGGGGTGAAGCTATGCTCTGGCCGAAGGAGGGGGTGCACAGGATCATCACCCCCCCCCGAGACCCAGCTGAAGGGGCTCTGGGCATGGGACTCTCGAGGGCTTGCCTCTTCACCGGCGCGATGCCGGGGAATTGAGGCGCCTCTCCGTCCCGAAGGTTCTTCATGCTATGAGACCGAATGGAACCAAGCAACGCTGACTGGGGCAAGTGCAGGAGGTCGAGCGAAAGAAACAGAGCTTAAACGAGGTCTGAGGACCAACTATATAAAGAAAACAATCTTCCTGGGGAAATAGTGATAAGATTCTCGAAGAGATGTGTGAGGGATGCAATCTTGAAAGCGGCATCTGGAGCTCCTTTGAAAGTTGGAGATAATGCTATCAGAATCCTAAAAGACATTCCATTTGAAATAAGACAAAGGAGAAAGAAGTACAAAGATTTAATTATTTTTCTCCAGACAAACACAATTGGATGCAGATAGCCAACACCAGAAGGTGTGATCTTCAAAATCAAGGATAAAAAGGAAAAGATTGACTCTGTTCAGAAAGCACATAAATTTTTGAGAGTCCAGATGGGAGAGCCAGAGGAGGAAGAAAAAGAAGGGATGCACAGTAAGTCCAGCTGCGAGCTGGACTTGGGGTCTTCCGGAGATGACTCTCTATCAGAGAAAGGGGCAACCGCCCCTTATAAACTGCGGAAGAGACTGGGCAAGGGGAAATGAAGGCTGAAGGACTCTGAATTGTGCCTTTGAAAAACTTTTTTTTCCCTTTTGATACTAGATGCTTAGGGGTCTTTCGGGTTAACAGTGATAGTTAAGATATGAAAAAGATAATACTATAGTTGAATCAGTTCATAATGGGATTAGCGTGATTGAAAGATAATGTGTGCTAAACTAATTAGATGATCTCCTCTCTTGGGTTTTTAGATAGTAGTGGGTATCTTTTCTTTATCCCTTAATGTAGTCCCCTTCCCTATTTCTGTTGTAGTTTGTAGTCTTTATAAAAATGTAATAAAAAAATCCCCTCCGGAGGGCCAAAAAAACACCCCACATACATCCTGTGATTGCATATTATTTTCCACTGAGAATGTCTCCTCCACCCTGTTTTGAGATCAGGCTATCCACCAGTGTTACTGCAGACCCTCATTTATACTCTTATATTCAAAATGTTAATTCAATTAATCTATTATGATGCTATTAATGGTACCTCGACAAGTAGCTAGAGACACCAAACCTAGCACTTAAGCAACACTGGATGTCATGAATGATTATTTCATGCTAGTGTTCCCCTTAAACTTTGAAATAAACTTCAATGCATATTTTTCTGGGGTACTCTCCACTGTTAAAACCCAGCTTATTCTTAGCTCCATCCTTTCCCTCCAAGATTCAGGACAGAACACTGGCCCTTGCTCAGTTTATACAAGTCTTTGCTTAATGAAGAAGTGAGTGAAGAATCAGACTCCTTTTCTAAAAATAATTATTGGTAGCGGCATCAAGTTGCAGCTGACTCATGGTGACCCCACAAAATTGTCAAGGCAAGAGACATTCAGAGGTGGTTTGTCATTACTTGCCTCTGTGTTGTGACTCATGACCCTGGGTTTCCCTGGTGGTCTCCCATCCAAATACTACCCAGAGCCAACCCTGCTTAGCTTCTGAGATCCAATCAGATCAGGCTACTCTGGGCTATTCAGGTCAGGGATAAAAATAGTCACTTGATTCCAACAGCCATACTGGTAACAATCACACATAGGGCTCAGCTACATGTTAAGAAGAAATGTGTGGCATCAGCCAACCAATGTTTTCCCATGCATTTCCCAGATAACATCTGGGGAAAACACATGTGCAGTGTGTAACATGTACAGTCCTTCCTCATTTCTGCTCCAATACACTGGCTTCACTTGCAAAGAATGAGAAAATTCTACGAATGCAGAGATGGTAAGTCACATATTTCTCAAATCATCATCAGAAAAACCGGAATGTGGGGGAATTGCATCCACTACAATCAGGTCCTCAACCCCTGCTATGCTGAGATCATGCACTTTTATTCTTTCTGATATGCCTTCTGGAATGGTTTTAGGACAGCTTTGGTATCCCAAAGAACTGGCTTGCATCTGAAAATTCAACAGAAGAGACTGCTGAATTTAATACTAATGTGATAATTCTGCAACTGGGCTATCCTAGGCCCAAGAGGTCTTATACCTTCAATAGCTCCAAGTCCTCCAACTTGAACAGCTCCTGCAATGCTTTGTAGAAGTCAGATTTTCTTCAACAGCCTACCATGCCTTTCAGCTTGCAGTACCTCTTTCCTTCAGTGCAGCCAGCCTCCCACCCTAACTTGCTTCTGTTGCAACCTTCTGTTCACTTTTTCTTACCACTGCAGTTTTTATTACAGAATACATGCAGCATGAATTTTAAAACACACTTTCCAGTTGACTTTTGTTTTCAAATCCAATATTATTGTTTTTTAATGAAACTACCCTTGAGGTAGCAAGATTCAGCACTCTGGCATGTTCAACAAGGCAGAAGAAGACAGGCAAGTATTTTAATAATTTTATTATTACTATTAATTGTATATTTTCTAAACAGAATATCTATTTTACCCACCCAATGTGTATTATGTATTGCTGATATTCTTGACTGCTAATCTTGGATCATCATCATAAACTGAAATAAAATATACCCCTCCTTAATCTAATTTTTGAGGACCATAATTTCGTCTTATTTACCAGTGCACTAAGTCATGCAGATATCAGACTGAAATGCCCTTTCCTGCTTTGCTGCACTTCCTTGATGCTACACATGCAATTCTTCATGAATG